TATATATATATATATTATTATTATATATATATATATATAGTAGTGTGTGTGTGTGTGTGTGTGTGTGTGTGTGTGTGTGTGTGTGTGTGTGTGTGTGTGTGTGTGTGTGTGTGTGTGTGGGTGTGTGTGTGTGTCCGTGCACGCGTGTAATGATGTAACGTTATGACGTACACGAGAGTGTACGAGATTCTATGAGAGACTCTCTCTCTGCTGCTACGTGTGCTTGGAAGCGTGAGCTGTGTTTGAGGATGGCTCTTCAGAACAATAAATATTATACCAACTAACAACATGTGTTGATCCATAATATTACAACGCGTGCATGTTGGTTTGAATGTGTGTATAAAAACTATATGTCGTAGAACTAGAATAGAAGTCTATTCTATAGACTTCTGTTCTAGTTCTATGGTATATGTGCGCGAATGTGTACGTATTGGTGCGGGCATAGGGTGCGGGATTATACGAGAGTAAGCGCATGCGTGCTAGAGTGTAACTGTGTATGAGTGTAGAAATGATTTTAAAGTATACTTAATCACTTTACTTGTACAGAAAGTACTGACGTTATTGTATAATATTTTGACTTTAAGCTGCATAGCGATGTTATGTACCTTATAATATTACTATGAATATTAAAATTATGAATAATATGAAAATGTATTATTTTAACTGCTGAACATCATTGCTAGATCTAGATCTATAGATCTATCAGATTTTTGTCTCATTAAAAAAATACTGTTTTCAGTACAGTAATAATAATAATAACAAGAATAACATATATACCAGAAATAAATAATAGGGAATATTCCCTATTATCTACTTCTGATATATATCTATAAAATTAAATTAAATAGTGTATAATATATACAGTATTTATACAGTAGTACTAGTGGCGGATCCAGAAGTGAATTCTGGGGGGGGGGATCATGAGGGGGCAGAGCATATAAATCAGGTGATTTATATGCTCTGGGGGGGGGGGTGTTAGGTTAAAATAATTGCCCTGACAATTCTAGGGGCAACCGCCCCCTGCGCCCCCTTGGATCCGCCACTGAGTATACATACCATGGGCCTGATCTAGGTATATAAGCAAAACAAGATACAGCTTAGTCTGAGTGGGCCTCTAAAAATCTCGAATTTCTTTCATTTGTTATATTTTTAAAGTTCTAAAGGAGCAATCCCTGTGGAGCCTCCGTGGCCCAGTAGTAGGCATCATGCACTGTCCACTAAATGCTGCGAGTTCAAACCCAGTCGGGGCAGTGAATTTTCTCAAGGTGTAAAAACCTGGCTCTCAACATTGGAGACTGTGAATCTCCCGTGGCTCGGAATACCACGTAAAATAGCGGTCCCGTCTCCAGAAATACTAACCAATGGGGACGTAAAAGAACCACTGAGGGTGCAAAAAGAACCACTGAGGGTGCAAAAAGAACTCTGGCTGTGACCACCCTCAGTGCCATTTGGCTAAAAGGCTGACTACCTGAACTGACTGCTGAATAAGAAATAATAAGAAGAAAGAATGAGAAGATTAAGACGAAGAAATAAGAAGAAGGAATAAGATAAAAAGGATTAGGAATAAGAAATAAGAATAAGGAATAAGACATAAGAAATGAAAAAGAAATAAGAAATAAGAAGAATAAGAATAAATTTCCCGCACATTCCAAAGAGAGAATCAGTGCCTTGTGAAATACAAGAGGGGGACACCAAGATACAAGATACAAGATGCAATCCCCTCACCCCGCACGAATTTGTGCGGCATATTGGCGGCATATTCTTGCCAAGTTCAGTTGTTGCACAGCCTAATTCTAATTCTAATTCCAAAATAGGGTCTTTACAGCTTCCAATACTGGCAATAGCTTAGGGCCTCACCAACTCTGAAATTTATGCATATTGTATCTTGTATCTTGTATCTTGTATCTTGGTACCCTCTCTTGTATTTCACAAGGCACCCGAATCAACGAGTGCGGGGTTCATCTAGAAAACAAAGGGATAAACGTCGCCTCTAAAATAATTATCTACATGTTAGTGTCACGGATCGCCAGAATTTTCCGTACATAATCTAATTCTGGTTTTAATAGTCCATGGTTGTCCCTTCTCCAGTTATCTATTTGTTGCCCTCCTTATATTTTTCATAACTATCACAATTATATAAATGTTCCATATCTTCTTTCATATCCTTATTACACGTACCTATTACACTTATCATCGCTAAAATTATTTTTAAAGTATCCTTTTAGGTCAATAATGCAAGTTTTGCATTTAAATGCAAAACACGATCGCATCGTTAAGTGATAATACTTTCATATATTCCTTCAATCCGTATGTTTCAATGTTTATCATGTTCATTTTTGGTTTGCCTCTAGTTTTCAATTTGTTTCTTTTAATTACTCGTTTTAGTATAGCATCTTTGACTTGTTTTTTTCCAGGCTCTTTTTGGTTTTAATCCTATGGCTGTAAATGATATTTCTAGTTCGTACTCCTCTAGGATTATTAGGATTTCATTTCCCCAGTTTCTTCCTTCTTTTTATTATTTTACGTAGACATTCATTTTGAAAGTCCTCCAACATTTTAAATTCTTCCTAAGTTATGTTGGTCCATGTTTCACTGTTGTTCAGGAAAGAAGGTATTACTGTACATTCATATAATTTGACTCTTGCTTCTATGGTATGGTTACCATAATTTTGCTCCTCTGTCCCTGATACTATTTCTCTCATCATGAATCTACATTTATCGGATCGTGCCTTTATCATGTCCTTAAACCCCCCTTTGTCATTAATTAGATCGCCTAGATATGTATATATATATTTAGTGCATTTTTTGATTACCTGATTTCCTAATAATATATCTTTTTCTATCCTTTCTTTATTTGAGAATTTCATGACCATTGTGTTGGTTTTGTTTAAATTAAATTCTAATCTTTTTGATTGTGCTAATCTGTAACATGAGTGAGCGATTTTTGTAATTGAAATAAGTAAATTGGTCCGATTTCTATTGTGTCACTATATACATGTATTTCACATTATTTAGGTAATTTAAACAGTCCAAAGGCATGCAGCATAAGACTGGTCCTAATATAGTTCCTTGTTTAACTATTTCTTTTGTTATGAAATTATCCGTTTTTCCTACTGGTGTTTCTAAGTTAATTATTGCTTTTTCGTTCAAATTAATTCAAATTAGTTCAAATTATTCAAATTAGTTCAAATTAGTTCAAATTAGTTCAAATTAATTCTCAGCATGCATGGTCGCTTCAGTCCTCTATACCATAATTCTACGATTGCGTCTTTTAACCATAGACTATCAAAACATTTTTGGATATCCCCCCCCCCCGAATAATAAAGTGATGTTTTTCTTTTGTTCACTGTGTTTATCAATAATTGCCTCTTAGTACAAATAAATGGTCCGTTGTGCTAAATCCCTTCTTCCCCCCACTTTGGTATTGGCAAGTGTCCATAATTTTCTGTTTACGTTGCCAGATTAATTTCTCAACTACAGTAAAAACCCGCGTATAAGAACATAGATTTTTCCAAGTTAGCCTCAACATGTTCTTATATAAATGGTGCTTACTGAAAAATTAGGCTCAAAAGGTTCTTAAATAGGTTTTTAATTGTTTCTACTTTTAATATGTACTAGCTGAAACCCGCGC